GACTTCCTTCTTTGCAGGAATTCCATTAAACACTCGAAATGCTAAAAATGGAGACCAGGCTTCTAAAAAGAATGGGGACAAGATTCCAGTGACTTCATTGTGCTCCTGTCCAGAGCTGGCTGCTGAGGAGAGGTTCCCGAGGGAAAACAGGGGATTTCAGATGTGGAGCAGGAAGGTTTTAAACAGCAAGTGTCCACTGGAATGGAAGGAACTTTAGTGTTTATTCTGGGCTCTCTTTCCTGCCACAGACAGGCTTTCTGCTGAGAGGTGGTCTGTAACAGGTGGAATTGAAGGCTCTGTGCTCAGCAATGCTCATCACCAAGCAAGCACTTGGAGCTGCTTTGTTTCAGTCTATTTTCAGATAGGTAACGCCATTAAGAACTGCCTCTCTCCTCTTCCCTGCCCTTCTTTTCACTGTGCTCCAGAAAGACCCTGTAGCCAATCCATCGTGTTACAGGACTGAGGTGGTCTTGCCACAAGACAACTTCTATGCCAACAGATTGTAAGGCACTGAAATGTGACCTTGATTTCATAGATTTCTGTTTGTTTTGGATTTTTTTTTTCTATGGCTTTTCTCTTCTAAACACCCAATGCAAACACCACCTTTCTTAAACCTTCCTGCATCACGTGTGATTGATAGAGAAGAATATTGTTGTTAACAGCAAACTGTCAAATCTCCAACAGATCAAAGAAGTGAAACCAGGAATGAAGACTGAGCTCTTCAGGCCATGCTGATTCCAAAGTGATATTTTTCTTCCTTCTGTCATAAGGATTTATATGCTTGTGAGGATCCAATCAGGTGGGAAGAGCTTCCCGCCTTTGTCTACATCAAAGTCCACATGTTCTCGAATCGCTATAATTCATCCTTTGCATTTTAATCTCTGGCCATATGTATAAAAATCATTACCTGCCTTGAGGAAGAGGGGATGAAGTAGTCTTTAGTGCATTTCCGTAAGAGTCCAAAAGGTTCCTGCTAAAGATGTCAGAGAAGTGGCAAGCCAATGGGTTGCAGGATCTGGATTATTTTAGCTAGAGGCAAGATGAACCTGTACGCAGGAAATGTACATCAGGTTGATTTAGCGTTGAGGTTATGAGTCAAGTAAACCTGGAGTGAAATCAGAATATAATGGGAAATATTCGTAGAAAACTTGAAAGTGCTTGCAATATTTATAAGAACTATGTATATGAGGCTGGTTGTCCTCCAGGTTGAGTCCCATCAGCTTATGAAGACACCAAATCCTTCTTCAGGACAGATGCAAAGAGGACAGTCGCTGCTATCATGCTTTCCCATCTGGAATGGGAAGGTGATGTTAGCAGGACCAGTGCTGATGGGACTGCGCTGTGGCTGACTTCTGCTGGGAACAGCAGGTTTGTGTCAGAGTGGCAGGTGAATCCTGAAAACCTTTTGAATGGATGATGGATGTGGTGAACAAAGACTGTGAGGGAGAAAGGAGAACTGAAACGAGAGCAAGGCCAGGATCCCAGAGAATGGGACCTACTGGGTGTAGGTCCATCAGAGAATCCTGGGGTGCTTTGGGTTGGAAGGGACCTTCCAGTCCCAACCCCTGCCACGGGCAGGGACCCTTCCATAGAGCAGCTTGCTCCAAGCCCCTGTGTCCAACCTGCCCTTGAACACTGCCAGGGATGGGGCAGCCACAGCTTCTCTGGGCACCCTGTGCCAGCGCCTCAGCACCCTCACAGGGAAGGATTTTTTCCTAATATCTAATGAAAATCTCCCCTCTGTCAGCTTAAAGCCGTTCCCTCTCGTCCCACTCATTCCTTTGCAAAATGTCCGTCTCCAGATTTCTTGTATTGGAAGCTATTGTAAGCTGTTGGAAGACTGTTATAACCTCTCCCTAGAGCCTTTTGCTCCCCAGGCATCACCACTGCAACCATATACAGATGGAACAGCAGATGGATCAGTCATCACACTGTCCGAGGTGTGTCCTGAGGCCACCATACAGCCACCCATACTGGAAAAGCTCTGACACTCTTCTGGCTGGCACCAGTCCCCCTTCCCCTTCCAAACTGCTGTAGACAACACCCACCCTGATGAGCCAGATACACGTTTAGCACCTTCCCAAAACGCGAGAAACTCCAGAAAGAGCCAGCCACTCTCATCACTTTCCATAAGTATTAGAAGAAGAAAACCCAAGAGTTTATCTTGATCTCTTAATCCATCAGATTTCTTTTCTCTTTGCTTTCTCTGCAAGCCTGGTAATTATAATTTATAACACCTGCTCACTTTGAAATACCTTGGACTCCTTCTGCCTGGCAGAGGAACAGACACAGTGCCCATCTGCTCCAGGTAAGTGCTCACAAACCACAAAGTCGTTAATTAGACTGACACACGACTCTTCCAGAATACACATGGTGTGTTGTTACTGCGCCTATAAACCACCGGTAACCAGATACTCTGCCAGGGGATCACAACTGGATCAGAGCATTACGTAAAGCCTTGGCACCCTCAGCAGGGCTCAGAGCATTGCCATCAGGTGTGCATGTTCTCTCTAATCCTCCCCACCAGGTTTCCCAACATGCTTCCCAGATAAAGCAAGCCTGCTGGGAAGCAGCTCCCTCACGCTCGGTAGGAAGCTCAGGCTCCAGTGTTGTATTCTCTCCTTTTGAAATCTAAATTCCTCTTTGTGTTCATTTAGTGATCCCTGCCAAGGTCTCCTTCCTGACAACTCGGGCTCCAGGCAGTGATGCCTCCGCATCCTGTAGCTGACAGGGAGCGAGGCAGGTCTGATTCTGGCCCCACGGGCATGGCTGCAGCTTCAGAGGACCTGAGATGAGGGGTGTTTGTAAGGACAGGTATGTCTGATGTGGATGGGGGTATTTGGGTGGATTTGACACTTGCCTCCTCAGCCTGGCTGGCATCCATGGGGCAGAGTGAATCATGAGCACCTCTGGTCGGGAAGTGCTGAACCCGTGTAAGTGGATGCCTCCCTCTGGAAGAGGAGGGGCCCAGAGCCCATGAAGTCCTTGGTGAGTGATAACTCGGTGATGAGCAATCAGCCAACCTGGAGCAGCCAAGCTTTGGGTCAGCACGTGGAATGACAGGGAATGGGTGTCCTTGATTGGCACAGAGTTAAGTTGGTGAGTGAAGACCTCTGTCCAGTTTGCAGTCCTCCCAGCGCTTGTGTTAGCGTTTGCAGGAGGAAGCCCTGTTTGTGTGCTTGAAATAGTATTTGCCAAAACTCAGGACTGCATCTCAGCTAGAAAAGGTATGGGGAAATGGGAACGTCCTCTTGGAGAGCATCCATAGGGGAACACCCTGTCCCTCCAATCTCACCTAAGCTTGCCTAAATCAAAGCCAGTTTTCTTGGCATGCTGTCCTGTGAACAATTCTTCAGTACCTTCCATTACTTGGAGAGCCAGTATTGCCTCATCTAAGCGTTAGGTTTTTGCTGCATTTCAGCTCTAACTTGGTGCTGTGCAGTCAATAAATACCAACCTCTCCCTGTCCAACAGTGGTTGGAAGCCTCCCATTTTGTCCCACTTGTTTGGCTACCTCATCCTTGAATTGCCTGGTAAGTCCTATTGGTACCACTATGCTCAAAGCTATTGTTCTCTCACTTAGTTGGCTGCTTCCGTCATAAACCTGAGGAAAGACGTGTATTGAGAAGCCTGTTTTTCCTCTCCTGTGCCAGCTTGTCCATAAGAGATACACACTTTCCCTTCAAATCCTGCCTGAATCCCAGGATGACGAATGGGGACATCAAATGCAAATATCTGAAAGAGCAAGAAAATAACCAGCGCACAATCCCTTTCTGTCTAGTACAGCTCTCTGTTCCACTCAGGCTGGCTCCCGTTTTCACCCCCCTTTTCAGCTCTCCTGCCTGCTTTGCACGTGTTGCCAACTTGCAGGGCAGAGAGTTAACATTCCGTGAGGTGCCACACAAGGACAGAAACTCATCAATGGTCATGATGTGCTATGAAGGCTCTTCCCCTTCTGAATGGAAAACAAATAGTCTGAGCAACACGAGTACACTGGGTCTTAGGTAGTCTGACCGGTAATGCTTGGAAAACATGCTGTAGGTGACCTATAGGTGTTCCAGGCTGGCTACACTTTTGGCAGTGAATACACAAGAGTCTCATAAACTTGTGGAAAATGACTCAGATGTTTGAAAAGGAGGGAAGAGAAAAGGTCTTTCTAACGCAGACCTACACCGGAGGCTCTTGGCCCGAGGTTAGCAACTACATTTGGAGAAGTCGTGGCAGCACCAATGAAAACCAAGCAGAGCATCTTAGCTCTGTATCTGCCTTCAGACACAGCGACGGTCCACCCTATGCAGCTACTGTTTGCAGTGGTTCAGCCCAATTCAGAATGCTCTTACAAGCTTCGGTGGTGTTGGTTATACAAGCTGGGCACTTACCAAACAGCCCTTCCCTAAATTCAGGATCTGATTGCAAGTGTGCCCTGACTCAGGAAAACTGCAGCTACTTCAGAGATGTGTGATTTTTAGTGAATACAGTAGGACAAACCTGCTGTGGATATAGTTACTTTAAAGGAAAAGCATGGTTGCAGACTCAGCTTCTTCTCATGGCTAGAAGTGATTTAAAGCATTTCTACCCTGACATAGATACCCTCTATCTGGGTAAAACAGCTCACCTCGCACGTTGACAGATCAGAGCATCCTCTGTGCTCCCTGGCAGGTCCCTGCCCCACTGTGATCCACAGCAGAGGACAGAGCCCTTTTTGGGTGGATATTTTCCAGCATTCCTTGAAATATGCATTGGCGCTGGTGGCCTTTTCATCACAGTGCACACATGGGGAGCTGTAATTTCAACATCCTTTACCAAGACAATGTTCCTTCCTTGAAAACTGCCCTCCTCTCCCTTCTAAGCTAAGTGACAGTAATCTTTGCTTTAATTGGAAAAGAAAAGGAAGAAGGGACAGAACATCCTTGACAAAGGAACTAATGACTCAAGTGCTGGGAAGCCCTGGGGCCCCCAAGGGACTGTGCAGCTCACAGCAGTGATTTTTAATGACTTACAGAGATTGGAGGTTTGGAAGATCTCTCAGTGCCTCTGCAGGGATGCAACTCATCTGATTGTTCTGCAGCATCCTAGAATTAGAAAAAAGAAAACTTTATGTGAAAGAAAAAAGCCAGAACCCTGACACAATACGAAGGATGTCACTGATTGTTTCTGAAGCTGTTCTGGACTCCTGTTGGAAAGCTGGAGGGGTTGGAAAGCACCCTGTTGGTCACTCAGGGCTCTTAAGCAAGCTTAAGGCTGCAGCCCTGGGATCCTGCAGGACAGGGGTACCAGGGGTGAGCTTGGTGGGGGAAGGATGTGACCATAAGGGGGCTTTTCCGCTGCAGTTAGTCCAGAGTGCTTACTACCAGTGCTCCCAGCTGAGTTGTCCATATTAATACTTGTGTAAGAGAATAAACTCCCAGTGTGTGCCAGTGGTGGTTACCTCTGCAGGGTCAATGGAAACTGGCCTGTGGGCAGGATTTTTATCCGACTTGTGGGACAGCTGCAAACACAATGGGTGAGGAACCACTCCATAGCTCTTTGCTAAGGGGCGTTGGGGCACTAGCACAAGTTGAAGCAGTAACTGGAGCTGTTGTGGAAAAACCCAAACCAGCCCAGAAGCTTCAGAGGAGCGGGTGACTGGGGCTGTTGGGCTGAATGGGCAGGACCCAGGAGGACTTCTCAGGAATGGAAGTGAGCATAGGACATGGAGAAGGACCATGGGAAGCTCATCAAGGTGGACAACTTTATACAAAGACCAACCCGACTTCAGGGGCTCTGAGCGCTGTGTATGGGTTTCTCTGTGCAGCTGGGATGTGCTGGAGGGATAAGGCATCCTGGAGCCCAGTGCAGGAGTTCAACAATTTAGGTTTGTTAAAAATCAAGAAGATGCGCAGCTGAACAGAGTGGGGTTTTAGGAAGTGCTGGTGGGGTTTTGGTGGGAAACACACTGGATCTCAGTGGCCCTATGAAATCTGAGCTCAGTGTTTAGAGCTGGTGAGTGGAAGTATCTGGAGACAATAAGCAAAACCCATTGTCGTTCTACTGCTGGATCCTGCTGCCTCCCATCTATTACAAGTCCCTTTTCCAACCAGTAACAGACTGAGAGACTTTCCAGACCACCAGCAGCATGGGCTGGTTCCCAAATGAAGCCAATTTGGCACAGACAAACAATGTGGAAAGCATGCTAAGGCACATGAAAACCAACAAGGTGCTTGGTGACAGCCAGCATGGCTTCACTAAAGGGAAATCCTGCCTGACCAATTTGGTGGCCTTCTGTGATGGGGCTACAGAACTGATGGACAGGGTAGAAGGGTTGATGTCATCATCTACCTGGACTCGTGCAAAGAGTTTGACGCTGTCATGCATGACATCCTTGCCTCTAAATGCAGAGACATGGATTTGATGAGTGAACCCCTTGGATAAAGAATTGGCTGGATGGCTGCATGCAATGTCACTACATACACAGCTCTATGACCACCCTGGCTGGTGCAGTTCCTCAACTGCTGAGTGCCTTTTTCTGTCTTCAGGCAGCTGTATCAATGAGTAAAGTCCTACAGGACTCAGGACTGTGCTTGTTGATGAGCCACTGTCAAATGCAGGATAAGCTAAGAACCTTGATTAAGAGTTCAACACTGTCCCACACAACGTCCTTGTCTCTAAATTGAAGAGACATCAATTTGATGGATGGATCACTCGGTGGATAAAGAACTGGCTGGATGGCTGCACGTGAAGAGTTGTCAATGGCTCAGTGTCCGGCTGGAGACCAGTAATGAGTGGTGTCCCTCAGGGATCGGTGTTGGGACCGCTCTTGTTCAACATCTTTGTCAGTGACATGGCTTCAGTGTGCGCTTGCAGCCCAGAAAGCCAGCTGTATCCTGGGCTGCATCAAAAGGAGCGTGACCAGCAGGTCCAAGGAGGTGATCCTGCCCCTCTGCTCTGCTCTTGTGAGACCTCACCTGGAGCATTGTGTGCAGTTCTGGTGTCCTCAACATAAAAAGGACATGGAACTATTGGAACAAGTCCAGAGGAGGCCATGAGGATGAGCAGGGGCTGGAGCACCTCCTGTATAAAGATAGGCTGAGAAAGTTGGGGCTGTTCAGCCTGGAGAAGAGAAGCTGTGTGGAGACCTCAGAGCAGCTTCCAGTATCTGAAGGGGCCTATAGGGATGCTGGGGAGGGACTCTTCATTAGGGACTGTAGTGATAGGACAAGGGGTAACAGGTTCAAACTGAAACAGGGGAAGTTTAGATTGGATCTAAGGAAGAAGTTCTTTACTGTGAGGGTGGTGAGGCACTGGAATCAGTTGCCCAAAGAAGGTGTGAATGCTCCATCCCTGGCAGTGTTCAAGCCAGATTGGATGGAGGCTTGGGTGCCATGGTTTAGTGTGAGGTGTCCCTGCCCATGGCAGGTGGGTTGGCACTGGATGATCTTAAGGTCCTTTCCAACCCAAACTATTCTATGATTCTATGAATACAGTGAGCAAAGACCACTCAGGCCAGGAAGTGCTCAAAAGCAGGTCTGGATAGTGCACTGCCACCTTTGGTTGGCACTGTTGAGGTGACCATACTGGAGCTTGCAGACACTTCCAGACATGGAAGCGCAACCTGCTACCCACAGCAGCCTGACTGGAACCAGCATAAGTCACAGCTCCTCAGAGGTCATGTTTTATTTTCAGAAGTAGGAGGATTGTTTGTTGGCAGAGACCATGCCTGAACGACCAGAAAAATGCTGGGATCGGGTCCCATCACACCAGCATCCTTGCACAAGACAGTCTTAGCAGACTTACAGCCCTCAGAAGTACAGGCCTGTGCATGATAAAGTGTCCCCATCTTGGGAGGCTGAAGTGACTCAGCCAGCACAGTCAAAGGGCTGTTATTGCTTGAGGCAACTGTGCCTGGAGCTTGTGCATGGGGATTAAAGACATTCCAACCTCTGCACGTTTCTCTTCCCTCCCCATGGGAGCGTCTCTTGGATATACCCCACCATTCCCTTTGTCTCAAAGTTATTTCTGTTCTGCACAGGTAGACATAAGGTCTCTCTGGGGGTTCCTGAAGTGTCCCAAGCCACCTGCAGACCTGCCATCCTGGGGCAACATGGCTTTTTTGGTGGTGTTTTGATGTATGCTCAACGAGCCAGGCTAGACGGTGCTTGCCCTGGACCACACGAGATGCTATGATTGCAGCTCGAGGTGGGAAGAGAAGGAGGGACCAGTGGGGGTGGCCACTGGGTAGAGTCCATCCAGTCGGGAAACGTGGCATGTGCAGAGCAAGGCCATCCTGCCAGGCTCACTCCATCCAACAGGAGCTGGATGGAGACCAGCCGTGGACAGCACTGGGACAGTGTGTGGATGGGAGCAGCTGCAGGCAGCACTGAGTCACCACGCTGGTGCAGGCAGGCTGTGGGCAGCGCTGGGTCTGGATGCTCCACAGGTTCATCAAGGGATGGAGCAGCAGCATGGGCTACCCCAGCTGGCTGCTGTGGATGCAGGGTCTGCAGCCAAAAGGATGCACCCAAGCATTTTGCCCTCCACGTTTTGGGGTAAGGCAGGCTCAGGTTGTGGTTGTACTTGGAGTCTTTCCCTGCGGAGTCTGGTGTGGAACTCCTTCTTGGCTAGTAGGTGCTGCTGCTGCTGCTGCAGCATGTTCAGCCAGGAGAGTAAGAGGCCTGGCAATCCTGCTTGTGCTGCAGAGCATTTGAAGAGGGATAGATGTTCAGGGGTGGGATGTGGCGTTAAGTTGTGGCAGCACAAGCTTAGCCACATTGCCAGCTGGGATGGATGCTTCCTGGCAGATGGAGCTCCATTCAGGGCACTTGGAGGTAAGGGGCATTCAGGCAACTCAAGAGGAGGTCTGGAAGGACAGGCGACTTTCCAGTTTTCCAGAGACTGGAGGCATATTCCAGCTGGAAAGCTCCAAGGCTGGAAGAGCATGGACTAAAGAGTTAATTTTGTAAGGGAAGGACCTTGTCAGAGCAGACAAACCAGCCGATGGCTCTGGTTTCTATTGATCTACTGAAGCACGGACCCAAGAGCATCAGCCTCTGTGGGGAAGGTGTGTGCTGGCCAGCACCCCTGGGAGAGGTGCGCTCCCAATGTCTTTTCACAAAGGAATGTTCCCATCGGCTGAGAAGACCTCAGAGCTGTCATTGCTGCCAGTCTGCACCCACTGAGGGGAGCTGAGGAGGCCACATCTCACCTCGCCTTCGGCTCAAGGCTCGGTGTATGAGGGTCTCGGCATAATCCCTGTGTCACCGCGCTTTGCCGGCGGTGGGGCAGCCCGGCTCCTCGCTTGCCCTCCTTCAAGTCTCCACACAGCTGCCTCCCCGGGTGTACTCCTGCATGGTTTCTGCACAGGCCTATCTCCATGGCCACTTTCCAGGTGGTTTTTGTGCAGGGAAGCAGCTGGAGGAGGCAGAGCCAAGAATCTCATCCTGCTTCCAGTAGCTCTGGGATTCACTGCGAGGGCAGGGAGAGGACCATCTGCACAGGCAGGTTTGTGGAGGAAATCCCAGGGTGTTTCCCATCCTTTCTAAAGCATAAACTAATTCTCTGGAAAGACCGGGAAAGCACCAGGCCCCCTGACAGCCCAAGATGAACGCGAGCGTTTACTCGTGGCCGTGCACATGACCGCAATTAGCACATTAATATTGAGTTATGAAAATTGCTACCATCCCCAACCTGTCTCCATGGGGGACACGCCAGTCACCAGAGGTGAGATCTCTGGTACTGACGTGAGTCAGCTCCTGATTGCCTACAGGCTTCAGCTGGTCATGTTTGGGGCAGCTATTCCCAACTCCAGCCATGCCTGTGACTGTCAACCCTCAGGCAACCTCTGACAGAGCATCCACAGCTCTAGATGTAAACTGTCCCTGGTGCCACCTGCTCCAAAACCTGCCAGTCCTGTTTCAGATATGGAGCACATGTATTTCCTTCCTTATTGCAGCAGCTGCTTGTCCTTAAAGGCTTGTGTTTGTCCTCATTCACTTCTCGTTCAGGTTAAGTAACCTCAGTTCCCTCGTTATTCCTTTAGGTCATCACCAGACCCCTGATCCTTCTCACTGTTTTTGAATGAAGCACTTTGGTTTTCTTCACTGGGCTGCAGGACCCAGTGCCATCCCTCCAGCACACCTCGGACACAAGAACAAACCCATGTGCAGGACCAGGAGCCCCAGAAGTTGTGCTGGTCCTCCTGTGAAGTTGTCCACTTGGATGCTTCCCCATTGCAGTGAGCACCTGTGGGATTGATGGGATTGACCACTGGGGCTTACACTGCTCCACACAAGTGTGGAAGACCAGGGATGATGACCATGGACCCACACAGTTCACACCTCTCCCACCTGCCCCACGACCTCCACTGGTGAAGCTCCTCTCAGAGGGATCCCAGCAGCTTTGCGCCCAGTGGGAACTGGCTCAGTGCATCAGTGAGGAAGCTCGTGGTGCTCTGTGGTCCCTGCACTTGGCCTGTGTCCATGCAGAGCAGGTCACCAGGGAAGGTGAAGAGAGGTCTTGAGGACGGCAGGATGGTGGGAGCGGGGTACAAGGTGATTAGAGGCAAATGAGGAGTTGATGGAGCAGGGATCTGAGGCTGCCAGTGTGTAAGGCCCAGAATGCCCTCTGCATGCACCAAGACATGAGGCTATTTGTGCTGCCCATGGATCAGTTTTACACAGGAGATGCAGGAGGAGGGCATGGGCAGAGGGCTCATTTTCAATCACGCCCAGCCCTGCCTTGCCCCACTGGTGAGGAGTGGTGATGAGGGTGTCCTGAAGCATGAGGACACCGATTTCAGCTCTCACAAGACAGCCTTGAGCAAGCTTCTCCATCCAACCATTTCCCAGCTGGAAATGCTCTAAGCCTTCAAGTCTTTCTTTACAACAGGGTCACTGGTGAATGTGCTGTTGCATTGTGGTGGAGTGTGTTGGGTGGCAGGACAGAGCAAGTGTGCTGCTCCCCTTTCTGCAACCCGTGCTGCCTCCAGAAGGGAGGCACTGCTCTAGTACTCTGCATCAGGAGTTACCTGGGCCTGACACAAATAGGAATTGATCAAAAGCGGCTTTAAAAGCTCCTGCGTTCCTGAAGGAGAAAGTTCCTCTTGTTGAAATTGGGTGGGAGAGCTGCGGTTTTTCCTCAGTTCCTTTGATTTGTTGCCTAATGCAGGGGATGGATAAATCTCTAAGCCCTGAGATTTAGGGCAGGATTCATACTTTACATCTTCAGAAGACGTAGTAAACAGCCCTATGCTCTCTAATCCTGGAAGCAGGTTTGTACCTGCTCGCTCTGTATAAACTGGACCAGCTACAACAATTTCACATTGTGGCTGAGTTCAAAACATCCCCTTGGGGATGAAATGTTTATTGCAGGAGATTTTTAAGATGGTTCTTAAAGGGAGAAATGGATTCTCACCTCACTACCCTGCACAGACCCTGTGGGACTGTCATATGGATGCAAAACCACTGTGACTGCATGAGTGGTGAGACAACCTGGCCCATAGGAAAATACTTGCTGGTAGCCCTTGTCGCTTAGACTTTCCCCATTCTATAGGCAGAGGGTGGGTGGCTTGCCCACAGTGACAAGGAAGCTTTCATCTACCAAGGCTGGCGGCTACCAGGGGCTGGGGAGGTGGTGGCAATGGTGGCTCTGCAGAAGGGAGGGAGTTACTTACAGGATCTTGAGGCTGTAGAGGCCAGAGAAAGCTTCCCCTGGGATCCTGGAGATCTGGTTTCCAGAGAGGCGTCTGCAGTGGAGAGAAGAGCCAGCAACGTGTCAGCATCCTTGTAATGACAGTCCCTTGTCTGCAGAGGCTTAACGATTCATTCATCCTGCCACAGCTCCCGTGGCGGGGAGGCTGCAGCACCTGCAAGCTGAGCCATGGTCACACGCTTGGGGAGCCTTGGCCTTTCATTCCCTTACAGCTGGGGAACGGGCAAAGGAAATAATGGCTTGTTAGCCCTGCCAGACCTGAATCCAGCTTCCAGTGACAGCCCACAGCTCGAGTCATTCCCTGGATACCTGCAGAGGACCCCACTCCATCTTACAGCACAGGCTGTCTGTGAGAGGGACCTCTGCTCGAGGGCATGGACCAACCTACGGACCCTGCTCTATGCCAGGCACCTGACAGTGAGGGTGGGACAGGGGAAGAACCGCTTTCTGCTCTCTCATGCATGCTCATGAGAGGATGTCCCTAAATCATGGACCCTTTTCTGTGCCCTTTGTCCGCATGCGGCCTGTGTCCGCATCCTGCAGGTCCTCCTTTGTCCTGTCCATCAAAGCTCAATGCCACTTAATTTTCTTGTACTCCCTCATTCCCAGCTCTGCTTTGACCTGTGTAGTCACAGCTAAGGCCCAGTTCCTCCAGCACATGAGTTTGGTATCACTGCTGTGAGGGGAGACAGGGGAAGGGGCTGGAGATGGGGAATACTGTGTAGTACCACAGTAGAGCCAGCTCATCTGTCCAAAGCCAGACAGTGGTTCTTGAGCAAGTTACAGCTGCAGGTAACTGCAAAGGGAAGACAAGGATAGGGACAATGCAGCTGGGGAAGGCTGATGGATGAGGATGAATGTGAAGGGATGAGAAAGGAAGGTAAAGTGAAAAGCAGAATCACAAAGTGGAACCAACAGAGGGGGCAGAACAAAGAGCAAGGGACGATGTTCAGAACTGGCTGAAAGAATTTGTCCACGGAAACCTGTGGGATTCACCATTGTACAGCATCACCCGATGAGAGCACCCAGGTGTTAGCAAGGCCCAGAGCAGGCTGGGGCATTAGCAAGGATTTGGAATTTTTACTGACATTGGAAACTGCATCACTGTTACCATCACTTTCACTGATGTCCATGGCTCGAGCCTCGGCTTGACCTAAGGAGAATCTTCTCTTGTTTCTCCAGTGAGGAGACATGGACCAAGTCCTAGTGCCCACAGGTTAGAAATCATGAAAACAGGTTTAACAACCTATTAAGACCCCAAATTGCTACTGCATTTGTGTTTTACTATCTGAGCCTCAAGCGGTCAAACAAAGGCCAAGGTTGGACTTCTCCATGGTCACAGGTAAGAAACCTGTTGCCCACTTGACTTGCCTCTCCCCGAAGGAGACAGTGAGCATCATTTGTGACCAGACTCATCTTCAGCCAGTCCAAAGCAGGCCCGAGAGGTTGGGCACAGATGCTGGCAAGCTTTTTATATTCATTTAGCATTGACAAAGCTCGTTCCTTTTTACACCTTTTGCTTGTGAAGGAGGCAGGTGTCGAGGCTGAGCAGGGTCCCCCAGGCTGGATGCAATGAGGACATGGGGAGGATGTGGGCTGTTCTGGGAGCCGCACTGCCCGGTGGCAGAGCAGACGTGTGTGGGTGCCCAAGCCCTCTCCCTCCCTGTCTCTCCCCTCCAGAATCTAAGGAAAATTGCTCCCGTAATTAGGCCTCTGACAGCATAAACAGCACAGGGTCGTCCCTTTAATGTGTGTGAGCAGGTTGTAACCTGCCTCCCTGCAGTATGCGAGCTGCCTGGCAGGCTGGGCTATTTGTCACTTGGGGGCTGTGATTTGGGGTAATTGCTCCTTTTGATTGCTGATTTCCACATGGGAGGGAGTGCTGTCCGGAGGGCTGGGGTGCTCACCCAGAGGGGAGGTGCTCCAGTGCAGCATCCTCAGCCTGCTCCCAGCATCCATCCTACCAGGCTGTGCTTGCTCAGTGAGGGGCTGGCTGTCCTCACCTCCCTGCAGCTCCTACCTGCCCCCATGCCTTAGCTGGCAGCAGTCTACAAGTATTCACTGTTAAATGTGCCTCTTGACTTGTTTCCTGGCAGCTCTGCACCTTTATGTTCACTTTCCTGGGTGTGTTTGTGTGTTTGATAAATGGATCTGGGACCTTCAGGATTAGCAGGAACGGAGTGTGGAGCTTGGGGAGCCCAGGCTGGGGCTCCTGGTCTCAGAACAGGGTGGCAGGAAGCCCCATGTGCTGGTGGGACCATGCTGAACCAGCTTGTGGCATGTCAGCACCAAGGGCAAAACAGAACATGAGGGGAAAACCCCCGCTGTCTGTGGGAGATGCCCTAGTTTCAATGGGCACCATCTCTGAGTGAATTCAGAGGCACACGGCATCGCCCAGCCCCAGGAGTTAGGTCTCTTTTAGGACAGACAGATTCAGTCCAGCTGCATGTCCTGCTGTGAAATAGGGCTGGGAGAAAGGGAAATCTCTGGACTTAAAGTGACCGACGGAAGAAGAAGGAGAGAAGGGGCAGGTGGAAGGGGAGGGTGGGAGCTGGCTCTGGCTGGCTTGCTCTGGAAAGCTCCTGTGTTCAGTGGATTTCAGATTCTGCTCTCCCCCCACCTTCCCCACTGCCGTGATTTCTGGGAAGGTTCCTCCAGGCTTTGATCTGCGTTCCCAATACACTCCAAGTTGGAACAAACTCATGGTTTACCACCTCATGGTTGCTGCAGTTCAGTTACCACAGGCTCCCACCCCCTCCTGTATCTTGGGCTTGTTGGTCATGCTACAACTTCCATGGCACACCCAAAGGCTGTTTGTTGGGCATGATCGCTCATGTCATGTGCTCAGGCAACACGATGATGCTCTTATCATTCACATTAGGAGGCAGGAACTTTGCCCATTGGCAGGACAGGACAAACATGTGTGTCCATATTCCAGTGGAATTTTCCCCGTGCCAGATCTTTATTGGGCATGTCAGCCTCCCCCTTTGATCTTCTGCTCCGGTTCATTTCTCAAGTACTAACGCTGTCAAGGCAGAATCTGTGCCCAGTTACTCCATGCTTCTGTCTAAACAGTGTCATCGTGCCAAGGCTGTGCCATCCCCTGGGCACACAGGGGACAAGGGCTCTGTGTTCTGCTTGAGCGTGTCCTTGTGCTGGTGCAAAAGAGGAATGAAGCTGATTTAAGTCATACAAGAAAACGTCGGATGTTTGAGGAAAAAGCCAGGCTTGAACTCTCCCTCCCCTTACAGGAATCTGCAGCTTGTCCTAGTCTGGTATCACCTGGAGGTGTCTCTAACGTGCTCCTTGCTTCCTTGCTCCATCCCTGAGGACAACACTACGCAGGCCTGTTTCTAATTCTGCTCCCTGTACCCCCATCAAATGCCTGTTCCAACTCGATAGATTGATGGCATTCGTTTCTTTTGTTTATGGTTCTCAAGCCAGTTTTCAACCCACATGAATGTTCGCATGCAAGCTAGTTTGGATTCATTTGCCAAGACACAGCTCCTTAATGAACAACCCAACGCAGGACACTGAATGCCTTCACTCCATTCCCTTATACTATAAATTGTCAAGTTTTTCAGGGGGTATTTGTTAGTTCCAAACCTTCAGAGCAGTTTTGACCCTTGGCTCTATTCTGTGTGCCCCTATTGGGATACCCCAGAATAGTTAGTATTTGGAAGGCAATTTTCAGGAAAACTGGGGCCAGCTACCCTCACTTGCAAGGATTTTTCAGTCGCTGCACATGAACCCCAGCCCAAATGGAGTAAAAAAAGAGCTGAAATCTCTACATTTTCACTACATTTTGAATCTGCAATAACTTGGCTCCAGTTTTCAGTGTTCATGATGGAGAACCTCTTAGAAGCCCCTGTCTCCTGTCCCCACCTGCAGCTTAACCAAGGTCTGCCTCCATGCCTTGCCAGGGATGACCTTTGAAAGGCTTCCTTAGAGGAATTATCCTTGAACCCTCTCTGTGCTTTTGCCCACCCACTGAATTGATGACCAGTGCTGCCCTCTGCCAAAGATCGATGTCAACCAGGAGGACAAAAGTCCTGGATGAACCAGGGCTAGACCAAGTTGCATCCTGGGGCCTTCTCAGAAACAGGATGTAGGCAGCATCCTGCAGGAACCATGGAGTCCAAGCAAGCAGGGAGCTGCAGCTCCTCACCCACAGCCGTCTGGAAATGGAGAGCTGCGTCAGGCGATGCTGCCTCCAAATTTCAGCATGGCAAAGCAAGGTCATGGCTCTAAAAGCATTTGTCTCTTTACCATAGACCTCTCCAGGCTGCTCTGTCATGGAAACCAACCAAAGCTGCTCTGCTAGGAGTCCCCAACTCCAGAGATGCTATTGCACTGCTCCAGGGAAGGCTTTTCGCCATGGTGCTAGCACGCTTGAGCATTGCCTATGAATGTCAGCACCCTTTACACAGCAGAGCTATCACTGCTGAAGGAGTCATGCCCCAAGGCCAGCATTACTGCCACGCTGCCTCTTTCAAGCACGAGATTTCCTTGGGGTGAGACCCTGTGCGGGACAATACCCCCAAAGGTGGATGCTTTGGGTGTTTAGGAGCTGATGTGGGTGCTCCGACACCAGGCACGGGAACACCACAGTGGTGCTGGTGCTCTGTGACCCGTGATGGCTCCACTGGTCCTTGCACCCGCATGGTAAGAGGCATGAGAAGGGGCTCCTTTCTTGGTGCAAGGGAGAAGAGGGCTGCTCTGTTCCCAGCACACATGCTTGCATTTTGCTTTGCTTTATGCCCTTTCTTCCCCTCCAGTCCCTTCGGTTGCAAGAGCTGCCTGAGAAAGGGAACAGCCTGCAAGGGGAGGCCACGGTGTGGGTCCTGAGCCTGCTGTGCCTGCGCTGATGCAGAGGCACGGCACTCCCCGTGATGCTGAGTACCTCTGCCCTGGGGGCCTGAGAAGAGGCAGGTGAAAGAGCCAGTGGCTGGGAAGGGGTCTGATCTTGCCGCTGTGCCCTGAAGCAAGAGGTGAATGGCAATGAACACCTGCCTTTGGCTGCAGTTTCTCTTCTTGGCACCAAGTGCTCTTGTTTGGATTCAAAGCGAGGTAACAAAGCCCTTGCCGGCAAACACATTTCAACATGTTATTATTCCCAGGCTGGCTTTCAAGATCCTCTTTCTATTCCTTCTGTACTGATTGCTCTTGTTTCTCTTGGCTCCCAGCTCTGGCTTTTCAGGCTTCATTAACTGGAATTTATTAGCAACTTTAAACAATCTTCCTGCTGCCAAAAAGAGAGAAAGAAAGAGAAGAAGGGGGAAAAATAGAGAAAGAAACAAAGAGGAGACACACTAAACTCCGGCCTCCTCCCTGCCTGTGTGAGGCCCAACTCTGAATGAACACCTCTGTCAATGGAAGTTTCCTTTGAAGAGCAGGACGGGTGAGTGCCTGGGCTGAGATTGCGTCTGCTTCCAGCACAGCCTCTCGTGTCTCCACTTTTTCCCTGCTGGAGCTGGAGGCTGGTGGTGACAGAGGAGAGCGCAGACTGATGGAGACCCATTGGAGAGGAGTCCATGGTGTTGTGGGATCTTCAAAGCCATCTGAGATTGGAGAATCTGGTCTCTTGGCACCCTCCAAGCACGAGTGCTAATTGCATCCGCAAGACCTTCCTAAGCAGCTTGCAGTAAAAACTAATGACTAACAGGTCCTGGCACACCTGAGAGGCCCATTCTCATTGCTGAATGGATGGGTAAATAGAGGCACTGGCAGGGAAAATCACTTCACCAGGACCACACATTGAGCAAGCAGCTTGAGCTGCAGCACTCCTCTTGCCCTCCTCTGTTGACTCTAATCCCTTGTGGGACATGGCTGTTCGGTCTCCTGAGGGGATCTGAGACAATGCGGGAATGTCCTGTGGGACACAGCCCAGCTGGACATCATGGTGTGGCTTGGGTGATCCGTTTGCTGTCCTCAAAACCCTCATGTGCCACCCTGCTCTCACTTGTTCTTTGCATGCCCGCACCCAGCAGACAATTAACACACTACGGGCTCAGGTGGATCCAGCAACCCGGATTCGCAGTGCTCCATGCAGCTGGAAGGATGTGCAATGGGGCACATTTGTCCTCAGTGTCCATGGGACACGTGCATTATCTTTTTTGCAGCTTCCTTTCCTCTTTCCATTATTCCTGTTCTTTGGTTGAACCCCAGCTCCATGCACAAGCTGAGCCTTCATCTAGCGGCTCTCTGAAGTTCATGAAGTTTCATCTCCATGGGGAGCCTGAGATGATGCTAAATCAGAGGCACAGAAAGAGGAGGCATCGTAAAAGGTGTGAAACACCAGCTCTCCTCCAAGCTGCTGTGACCCTGGGCTACTGGGACTAGATCTAACAAGAGAGGAGATTGGCAGAAGCAGAGCATGAGAGGGAAACTATGAGGAGCTTGTGGAGGAGGCAGAGGAACATGGACTTCCTCTGACTGTCAAAGAAGATGAGTTTTACAGACCACATTCACATGTGTTCAAGGCTGTCAGGAATTTCTAGGATGTTTCGGAGTGTTAGACCAAGGTAAAAATGTCCCAAAGACGTAAGAATTTCCAGAGGACCTGAAAAGAAGACTTAAAAATATGTGTTGAATTTGGCAAATATTTTTGGCTGAGAAACCTGTGATTTTTCTTTTTTTTTCAGAAGGTTCAAGCATCTTTTTTAAGGCATCTTTGCAATAAACCAAGTATCATTTGGGATACCATTTACTTGTCAAGTTTGGCAGGTGGACAGGCAGGCCTTCCTCCTCCTTAGGAGGTACTAACACTGAGATACCTGGATTGCCCCTCATTGCTTAGCTTTCTGGTCTTCACTCACTTTGCGTGCCTCAGCATGGGCAGTTCTTCCGTGGGGAAGCAGACAGAAGGCTTGGTCTCATGTGCTACATGTCACCCCAGTAGACTTAAGGAAATATGTTCTGCATAGATGAAATCTGCAGAGATTTGAGCTCTTAAACCTGAACAAACTTCTATTGAGGATGTGTAAACAGGCAGGATTTGCTTGCTTGATTCTTGTGCACATCCTGGCACAGAGTGTGATCCCATCCTGAATGTCATGGTCCTGATGTAATGTTTTGGGATGAAAGTCTGGTAAAGATAGAAGTGAAAAGAGCAGGGGAAATGCCAGGCATGTTGCATTACTGGTTGATGACAGCCCTATGAATAATGTACACAGTGTCCCTGTCTGGATGCTGTTGAAAGAATCACTTTAAATTCCTGATAGTGTATAAAAAGCCTTCCTTGCTTGGTTTCATATAAATTGCTTGATTTCCATAAATAGGATTACTGTCTTATTGATGTCAAATTCAAGCAGGAACTTGGCTATACATAGACATATAATGCTCCGTTTTCCATTTCTTTTCCTACCCATGATATTTTTTCCTAGTCAAAATACCTTCGCTTTCCAAATGACGACTTGTGGCATTTTGAACCTCTAGTAAAATGTTCTCTAACAACTTCCAATTATTTTTCAGATTTTCCTGTTTAAAGTTTTTCTTTTCATCTGTTTCATTCCTAATTATTTTTGGCTGTGGGAAGCTGGCTCTTTTGGAGCCTATGAATATTTATTCATTGCTGGTTGAGACTGTTCTGTTTTGTACCTGACGTGTAATCAGGACACAGTTGCTTGCAGCAAGACAAGAGTTAATTGTCCACGAAAGAGTATGGTCTCTGTGTATGAAAAGCTGTACTACCCCCACTTAATGCTTTGGGTGTCCACACTTCAATGCAGATACTGACAAAAAGGGGAAGAGAAAGGCTGCAAGGTGGATGTGAGGTCCTGAAAAATCCACCTCTGGGCACAGCTTGAGCTCCAAAGCTAAAGAAGGGTAAAAGGTTACTCCTGGTCAGTCTGTAAATGCCTAATGGGGGGGGGAGATTGCGTAGCTCAGGTCCTTACAGGTCTGGTGAATAGGAACGACAGACAGATGAAGAAGAGCTGCAAAACAAAACCCCATGGTATGGTTTGGTAATGATGAGATTTGAGCCATTATGGGAATAACAACCAGTGGCATCTGGTCCAGCCTCGTTAGTCAAGACTGAATGCTCAGAGGAGTAAGCTTGTCTTTGCATCTGTGTGTCTACATAAGTATGTAGAGTCACCTGCAAACTCTAAATGCACAGATGGGACTTCCTGCTCGCAGCAGTGGTGCCTGGGCATGGCACATCACCATGCAGCAAAGAGGCCCATGTCAGCAAGGGGTTAGGCAGGTCACCGCAACCTGTCCATATCACTGCCATTATGCTCTAGTGCTGCATGCTGATGATTCAGGGTCGCTCCACTGCAGAACATATGGCCAAGAACATCTGGGAAGTGAAACTGCCTCCTTCCAAAGTGCTGCAAACACCTATTCTGTAGGAAATTCTGACATTCTGGAAAACACCATTTTTGTAATGTTTATGTAGTGTATGGCGGTGGCTGCAAGAAGTGACTAGGTGAAGTGTTTCATTTAGACGGGTTAAGCTGTAGCGTGTTATATATAGAGAGTAACTTCGCAATACATAGATCAAATGCAGCATTAATATTAGTATTTCACTAAATGTGAAAAATGTGTTTTCAAGAAACTGTGTTTCTGAACAGAAGCTGTTGCATTGAACGGAGCAACAACTTGAGAATAACACCTGGAGGCATTTCTCATGGTCAAATTAAATAAGACCATACAGGAGCAATTTACCCAGGCAGAAATGGCCAACCTAAATATTCTGCCCCCCCCCCCCCCCTTCCCATTTTTGGGGCTCCCAAGGGATTCCAGTGGTTTCTAAGTGTTTTTTCCCACTTTCAGACGTGGGGTCCCTCCTTCACCGACACAGCCACACGCCAGCGCGTGGGGACTGCGAGTGCTGTGTATGAGTGCGCCTGCTCAAGCTGCAGCACACACTGATGCCCAATGGAACATCTCAGCCTCTGGGGCAAACGTTTTTTACTTCAATTGCTCAGGCTTATTGCCATCCAAACAGCAATGTGCCCACGAGCTCTTGCGTCTGTGGATGGCAGGAGGCTGAGACTGGCCCCTGTATTCAGAAGGATGAATAAAGCTCCCTGTTTGCTGTCTCTGCTCTGGGGTACGCTGTTGATTATTGCATAATGGATTGGGTCCTGTTTCATTTTGCCTCTTGGCACATTGACCATCTCAGCCTAAAGGTAATGACCGCAGTCAAAGCCCTAAGCTAGAGTAGCAAAACCCCCCTGTTCTGGTGTGCAGCCTTCCTCCACCTCATCCAGTAGCCACAGTGACAACACTTGGGGTCTCTACCGGAGCCACAGGCACCCTCTCCGTGTCCCCTGGACCACCCCAACAGAGCTCTGCCTGCTGCGGCTGCTCCATACTTACAGCTCCTCCAGGAAGCGCAGGTGACGGAGAGTCCTGGGCTGCAGCTGGCTGATGTTGTTCATGCTCAGATCTCTAGTGGGGAGGAAAAACAGAAGTCTCTGGTCAGTCACAGAATACCCCCCAATGCCAGGCTCTGTGGCCCCTGCAAATGGGATTTCAGCATCAGTTTTATCACAGCTCAGGCTCTGACTGCAGAGGGATGGAGAGCAGTAACCAGAGAGACCCTTGCTCTTCCAGGGTGCTCTGCCAGAGCTTCTCCAAGTTATGGAGCAAGTTACCACCTTTCTTAACACCACAAGCAGTATTAGTGGGATTGGTGGACACAGGTCACACCTAGGGAGGGTATAAAGCCTTCCTTTACAGCTTCTCTGGAGAGGTGCCCTGTAAAAAAACCAAGTGGTTTCATGAGCCCTACTTGCAGCTACTCCTGCCAGAGATTGGTTTTGGGTTTCTTCTTTCTGTATAACTTTCTCCTTTCCAGAGATTGGGAAAATCCCCCAAAAGACCTTTCAGAACTCAAAATTCTTTTTGCAGAATGAATGCAAAAATACAGTTATTTTCTGCAGTGTTCTGTGTGCAATGAAACGTTCGGTAGCTGGATGATCCTGGGATACAAGAGAAGGGTTAACATAGCGTTTTGTGCTGCTTCTATTTTTATTTTTAAATCCCTAAGGGCAGTTGCTACTTAGCACCCATTAAAACATCTTCTTTCCTACATCAAAGTGTCTCCTGTTTATGCTGTAATGAATCAGTCTGATGTTTTGACATGTTGTGAAACAATGCAAAAATAACGAAAAATAACGTAAAATGAAAGGCTACAGAACAAAACATGGATCTGAAACATTTAATCTCCTTGAAACTCCAAGGCATATTCCATACGTTGCCTTCTGCTCTAGGGAATACTCTTTGCTCACCACAGGAGATGCTTTTCAAACCTCATTAAACCACATTTTGGATGCCCAGGCCTGATGGGGACCCCTTCACCCCTAGGTGGGCAGGGGTTGCAGGGATGCGCAGCCCCTCAGCATGAGTCCTACCCAGCAGCATGGCAGTATGTGGCTGGTGATAATGGGGAGGTCAAAGATGTTTTGACCCCTTCTCTTCTCCCTCTTGATCCATACCCTAAAGAGGAACTAAACACATTGTTTTCTGAAGAAATCTTCCAAAAGGCAGAGGAGAAATACCATTATCCCATCACTCTGACAGCCTCACAGCTCCACCTCACATGGCTTTTCTTCACATCATAGAGTTACAGAATGGTTAGGGTTGGGAAATGCCCTGATCCCTTCTCTCTCACCCTCTTGCACTCCTGGGGCTCCAGGCCATGGCCAGGTCTGAGGGAAGGGGCTCTCTTCCATCATCTCTTGGGGCAGTGAAGAAAAACCCAGCCCTGGTTTCCAGAGCTCTTGCACGAGTAACATTTTGGGTCATTTTATTTAAAACTCACTGACATTTCGGCTGCTTGGATGCTCTGGTGCTTTGCAGTCCTGCAGGACTCGAGTGCAACCTGTCCACACTCACTGACACAGGACTGAGAAGGGGAGGCTCATAGTGCAAACCTCTGCTAGCTAAGGGACAGTGAGGCAAGTATGGTGCCATGTCCCCATGGTATCAGGACAACACGGAGGGGATGGTGCGAGGACAGATGGTGTGAAGTGATAATGAGCTCCTCCAAGGGCTGGAAATCAACTCCCTGAGAGCAGTCCTGGGTGCAATGATTTTGCTGGCCACAAAAGGATGAGATGTTTCTCCACAGGTGAGACCTCACCTGGAGCATTGTGTGCAGTTCTGGTGTCCTCAACATAAAAAGGACATGGAACTGTTGGTACAAGTCCAGAGGAGGCCACCAGGATGAGCAGGGGCTGGAGCACCTCCTGTGTGGAGACAGGCTGAGAAAGTTGGGGCTGTTCAGCCTGGAGAAGAGAAGCTGCGTGGAGACCTCAGAGCAGCTTCCAGTGTCTGAAGGGGGCTACAAGGATGTTGGAGAGGGACTCTTCATTAGGGACTGTAGTGATAGGACAAGGGGTGATGGGTTCAAACTGAAACAGGGGAAGTTTAGATTGGATCTAAGGAGGAAGTTCTTTCTTGTGAGGGTGGTGAGGCACTGGAGTGGGTTGCCCAGGGAGGTTGTGAATGCTCCATCCCTGGCAGTGTTCAAGACCAGGTTGGACAGAGCCTTGGGTGCCATGGTTTAGTGTGAGGTGTCCTTGCCAATGGCAGGGGGGTTGGAACTGGATGATCTTGAGGTCCTTTCCAACCCTAACTATTCTATGATTCTATGATTGTGTGAAAGCTGAGGCACAGGATTCCTGCCTGCAGTGTTGTGGGAGTAAATATTTGTCTTATTACTCACGTAAAGATGTTGTTGACTTGTTGCTGTGTTTTCCCAAGCTCATGCTTTTCCTCTTAGTAAAGTTGCTTGCATTATGTACATCCCCAGTGCATGCAAGAGTGGAAATGCTTCCTGTCAGCATAATCAGAGAAGCTATTTATCTCTTTGAGTGGCTGGGGGTGGTTACTTCAGCCAGACACTTTCAGTTAAGTTTAAAAGGAACCCACGGCATTTGAACCTTGTTGGATTTGGTTTTGGTTTTTTTCAGCACCAGCTGGCAGAAAGATCAGGGATGCATGGACTGAACAGATGAGGGACTCCTCTGACCTTTCTCAGCTCTGTCAATGACTGACTCTGCAGAACAGCTCTCCCTTTTGAGTCTCTAGCATCCAGTGGAGTCAACCAACTGCTGGGTCACTCATATCTAAGCATGGCTATTGCCCTTTACATTGAAGAAACCACTATAAAGATGGGGACCAACCCATAACAGATATTACAGAAATGCATAATTCAGATCCCAAAGTCCTTTAAAACTCCAGAAGAAACTGGAAAAGAGGACACAGGGTGCTGCAGCTTCATCCATGCTTGCAATGTAGGACCAGCAGAGCAACTGTCCAGATTCTTGCCTTCTAGTTCATGGGACCAGACTGCATTGGTTCACTGAGACAAGCCATCCCTCTCCTGGCCTAGAACTCCTGTGTTCCTCTTTCCCCAGTCACTGGCCTGTCTGTCCTGTCTGTAAGCTATCAAGCTAAAAAGGAAACCTGCTGTCAAATGATTTTGCATGGCTGTGGTCTGCAATGCTGACAGTAAAGCAAACTGCTGCTGGAACTGAAACTCTCTTCTGGTATCACCCCCATTTACCCAGGAAGCAATGTTTTTTAAGGACTCTTGCATTAGGTGTTGAAATCACGTCTGCTTTCAAATGGCACTGCACCAAAGCCGTCACAGCTTATAATTACTGTGATTTAACATCCCCCCTTCCCCAAATAATTCTAAACATTTATCGTAAGCATTTCTAACTTGTACCTGCAGGAAAACTGAGACACAGTTCATGGAAACTGAGCTCATGTGATTCAGCCTCAGACCTTACAACTCCCCTGGCCCTCGAGGGGTTCCTTAAATTATTTGCTTTGATGTCGCCTTCTTTCATGAACAACCTCTGATTATTCACTGATTAGCTGATGTTTCTTACCAAAAACTGAAGTGATACACACCACGCTTTGGGTACCCCGGCAGGACGCCTGCCATGCTCACTACCAGTGCTGTGAGATGCTCACCACAGTGTTTTAGTTCAGGGATAATATGAGCTTTAAAGATCAGAGGAATTTCTCTTTGGCATAATTGCTCAGGCGGGTGGGATGCAGGCTGTGCTCTGAAACACGCAGCCATGGATGTCCCTGTGGAGAGCAGCACAGTCCCTGCCAGCAGACTCAGCTCTGGTGAATTCACCTGTGGGACCTTGCAGAAGTGCATGTTCCCAGGTCAAAACCTCAGGTTTCTGTGCTACAATATGTGGGTCTGCATGAAGGGCACTCTGTGATGCTTGCCCAAAGTAGCCCTAAGCAATAGCCCCAAAGATACCTCTAGGGAGAGAGGGATTGATGTTTCACACAAAACTGGGGAGACATGAACCTTGCCTGTGACTCCCAAAGCTCTCCCCATATTATAAGCAAAATGTTTCCCCACAGATGCACTCTAATGTGAGTTAATACCAGAAGTCAGCAGACTTAAAGCAAACCAGGTTGAAACCACAGCAGAGTAGCACAACGAGACTGTGGCTGCTCAGGCAGGAGGGCTCGAAGGTGAAACCTGCAGTGATCCAGTTTTGGCTAAGGCCAAGCCCATCTCCCTCAGAGCCCGATGTGCATCTGGGTCATGATCTGCAAATCACACATGACTGGCAGAGAGTTGGTGCTCTCCATCACGGGACTTGGAGATTTCCTACAGAAAGAGCAGCTCCCAGCTGTGGCTGGGAGAAGACATTCCCCAGCCATCTCCCTCTGTGCCCCAAAGGGGCAGAAAGTCTGGACACCAGCTTCTGCCCCCGAGGTGCTCCCCATGGGTGCCTCTGTCACTCAGCATGATGAGAAGCCTGTGTCCTCCTTCTTCAAGAGCAGGGGGAAGTAGCTGCCTTCAAGTCGATCTTTGAGCTACAAGATCTCTGCAAGCTCAGGGTATGTTTTAAGGGGAAGACTTCAAGGAATCAGCAACGGGTACTCTATGGGCTTTTGGTTTCTTTCATACCACAGAGAAATCCCCTGTATGTGGCAATGGCTGGAATTGATGACAGACATTGCCCGAGCCACTGGGCAGGACTTGCAGTACTTAGGGAAACGGACCTTGTGCTCCCCTTTTGTACAGAGGCATGGGCATTCCAGAGAACAGATCTGACTGCTGGCTTCAGGTTTGGAACCTACAGGAAGCTACTCAGAATCTCAAATGGTGACAACCTTCTCAAGCCCTAAGTTGCTCCACTAAATGGATATCAACATGATTTTCAAGATGTTTAGGATATTCATATGCTCTCTTCCCAGCACAGACTCAATGTAGCTCCTCTCAGCATTAGTGCCTAGCACAGGGGTTCCTGGACTGCAATAAACCCCTTCCTTATACTCAGATGGTTGTGGTGAAAAGCCAATGAGCTGCTATCCTCTTGGTTAGCGAATTGCACAATTGCAGCATGAAGGCCTCCCAAGGCAGCAGGCTGATTGCTGGGGGAACTGTACAAACCAGACCA